TGCGCCTGGAGAATCAGGGTCAACGCCATAACGATGTGCATTAAAACGAAGCTCATCAAAATTTAACCCTCCTTATTGAAATTAGGCTCTAAAGCATGAGGTTATGGATGTCAACGGCAGTGTGGCATCCAGAGATTGACAAATTTACCATGTTTTATTGGAGATTTAGAGCGCAAGCATTATCTGAAATACGTATTCATGAGGTTTCCTTTGCAAGATTTCTTTCTAACGATTTCCTGTATCATTTTTGAAATCCTCACGTTATTGTCTAAAAATTTTATTAACGTCGATGCATCTTTGAAGTTTTTCAATGAGTAAAATTAAACTTTCAACAATAAACATGGTTTTTACGATTCACATTGCTCAAGTTGCCCAGCGTTGCTCACCAATTTTGCAAAAAAAAAGCTCTAATTATCACAGCTGAAATACTCGAATTCCTAAATTCTGTTGTCATTGTGCTCTAAGAAAAGGATTTCTTCATGCGCGTTTGTAATCATGGATATAACCTAAACTAAACGGGTTTCTCCTTGAGTGAAATATAGTGCTGTAAGCCAATTTGTAAAAATAAGGCTAACATTGTGCCGAATGGAGTTCTTGAAGCACGCATACTATGTATTAAAGCGTTAAAGAGTTAAAAATGCTTCCATTCTCCATCTATCTTTAAGAAAATGCCTAAATTTTTCATTTTCCACTAACTGCTAAGAGCCCAACATTTCATAGGATTAACTCATTGTGATGCAATAGTCTTTACTACTATACATCTAATTCATCACATTCGCACATGTATTTTGGAGGTTAAAACTTCAATACTAAGGTGTTCCCTCAGCCACTATAGGTTTTTAAATGAACTGAACACATGTTTGGAATATTTTGGAAGGTTCTGTATATTACTGAGACAAAAATGTGTTTATATATGATGCATAAGGGAAGATATATTTATGACTAGATATCCATAATTACGATCAAGGTGACCGGCAAATCAAACTTCATTTATCATTCTATGATTTTAGTTCCTTTGTCATTAAATGGGACAGAAGGAGGTGTCTAACTTGATCAAGAGAAATGTGGTGCAGCATGTAGCACAAATGTGCGAGAAGGCTGCGTTAGTGCATGTCATTGATGTTAGATGCCGTGACAATAAAATTGGTACCGGAACCATGGCAGGACCGTCGAAAGATGGAGAAAATCTTCTCATTGCACTTTACAACTTTAGCCAACGGCGGTTTTGATTAGAAAAGGATTAATTCATTCTTTCCTACAAAGGATTATATTAAGAAAAACAAACCATGTCTTCAATTTTTTTACTGCACCTTCACCGACTTACTGCTTCATGAGCTACCATTTAAGCTTTACATCAGTAAATGGTTAGTTAAAGCTAAGCTGATGTTATACCATAAGACACCTGATGTCATCCAACAATGCCAGAAGAACTGTAACGATCCGTATGTCATAGGAAAACTTCTGGCGATTCTGCGTCTCATGTTTTCCTATGCTATTTTGGTTTGTTTGTTCATGAAGATAACAGCGGTCACAAGTGGCTCTTGAACATGCACACACAAATCAAATACACGACCACAACGTACGCGACAAAACGTCATGCATTCTTATCATTTTATCTATTGATTAGCATTTTTGTTACGGCTAAGCCTAAGTAATAAATTAATTAACTAATTGTTCAGCTACTGAAAGAACAACTCATGGAGGTTTACATGACTCGTGATTGCGTTCCGATATCGATCGAATCTTAGCGCATTCTTTAGAAACATATCGATTTGGCTAGATAAGAAGCTTAAGCATAGCTTTGTCATTGTTATACCCTGCAAGTGTAGACTGCTTCAAACCTGTTTGGACATCTCGTGGTTTCCTATTTTGCACTAATTTTCTTAACTTGTGTTCATTTACATTAATTTTTTTTTTTAGTTTCAACTTAAGGTC